TATCAGCCACCGACACGTACAACTTTCCCCTTGCTAAATGGCTCGACGAGAAATTGAAGCCCTTGTCCCTTAATCAGTATACAGTTACTGATAATTTTGATTTCACAAAAGAGATTCACGAGCTGAAGATCAACAAGGGTGAAATCTTGGTTTCGTATGATGTCTCCTCGTTATTCACAAACGTGCCTTTGGACGAAACAATAGAGATCTTGGTTAACAGAGCCTTTTCGAACAATTGGTTCAATACTACCCACAATCTTGCCCTTACCAGAACAGATCTTATTGACCTCCTAAACGTAGCCACCAAAGGCCAACTATTTCAATTTAACGGAGCTCTATACGAACAGACAGATGGCGTTGCTATGGGGTCCCCTCTCGGGCCCTTATTAGCAAACGTCTTCATGTCATCCATCGAAGATACCCTTGAGCGACAAAGAAAACTCCCATCCTATTATCGTCGATATGTTGATGATACACTCACTGTAATGCCTGATCTAGCAACAGCAACTACCTTCTTGCATACCCTCAACAGCGCCCACACTTCGGTCAAATTCACCATGGAGGTGGAGAAGAACAGCAAGCTTCCTTTCCTTGGCACCGAACTACTCAACCATGCACCTCGGATTGAAACCAAGGTATATGTGAAACCAACAAACACGGGCCTACTATTACACTACCAAAGCCATGTAGACAATCGCTACAAACGGAGCTTGCTGAAAACTATGCTGGATCGCGCACACCGATTATCTTCCTCCTGGGCCCATTTCTCTGATGAGTGTGATCGCCTAAAGAAAGTTTTCGCACGGCTTAAATACCCGGAACGCCTGGTAAATTCTACCATTAACACCTTCTTACAATCAAGAATTGTTGGTACGCAGCCCACACAGACGCCCAAAGAACCAATATCCATTGTTCGTGTGGTCATACCTTTCAAAGATCAGGAATCAGCAAATTATGTTAAGAAAGAGCTCAAGAATCTTAGCATGAAGGTGCAGACAACTGTCCAGCCAGTATTTGTTAGCCGCAAAGTTGGCCAAGATCT